AATGGGATATAGTGTGAAAAAATTAAAAAATTAAAAATAAAAGTAAAGGCTTTCCCCATACCTCCCACCTGTGAACAAACAATTCCAACTGTAATACGCCAACTCTATATGGTTCCCTTTAGGACCCAAGCAAGCTCCCACATTTCTTCTTTTCCTAGTGGGTATGATGAATTAAGTTAAGTGTTAATAAAGTCATACAATAGCACTACTTGATAAACATTCTCTACATTAACCTGGAATTTCTCCCCAAATACTCTGAACTGATGAAATTTCACTCAGAAGCATTCTAAGCTCAACTCCTAGGGAAACTAGATTTTAGTTAAACTGTGAAGCCGAATCTCTAACCAGGAAGAGGAGGTTTTACAGTTTACAGGGCATCTCCTTCAATAATCAACTCTAGGGCCGGCCAAGTGGCTCGTTGGTTAGGAGTTGGCTTGGGATGCCAGCTCTGAGCAGAAGGGCCCTGGGTTGGATCCCACATGAGGGCCAGTGACACTGCCCTCTACAGCTAAGATGGTGAACAACAGCTCAACCTGGAGCTGGGCTGACAGTGAGTTGCTGGCAACCGTGTAGGCTGCAGTGGGGCTGGCCAGCAGCTGGCGTGCGCTTTCGTGAGCCGCTGTGAGCGGCAGTCCAATGGCCAGTGAGCAACTCCCTCACCTGGGAAGAGTGCAATGATAATACCAACATGGGCCAATGAGGCGATGACGTCCACAACTAGACTGAAGAACAAAAGAACCGCAACTTGTCTGTACCCCTTCCCCAATTCCCCAATAAAATCTTAAAAAAATAATAATAAATAATGAACTCTACACCCGCCAAGAACTCTACACCTGCCAAGAACTCTACACCTGCCAAGAGGCAGAATGGGACTGTGAAAGAAAAATAAGACCAAATGAAAGTTGCCATGTAAATATCCAACCATCCAGAACCTGACAAATGTTGGCTTCTTGATGAAGAAAATGACACCATACTCAGAATTTCTCCAGAAGGTAGATGTATAGTGTGGTGCATGCTTGTTCAGAATTTTGTTTAATATGCAAATGTTGGCAACTGTCCCCCGCACCAAAATGGCATCATTACCTCAGTGGGAACCATAGGAGTTGAATTCTCTTGGCGTCATGCTAATAATGTAAACAGGACATAGACTGGAGTTACCCACATTTCAAAGCCAGTGCAATTGGATGGTAAAACCATGAAATCAAAAGTATGAAACTGTTGTTTATATTGGCTTGTCGTTTTTCTACTGACCATTTTAATGCAGACATGGCAGTAAAAGAAATGTTTCAATATGGAAGCTTTGGGATATTCTGTAATTTTGGTAATCAAAGTTTACATTTTCTGGCAAAACATTATCATTTACCAATGCTCTCTTCCACCTCAATCAAAGTAATAAACAAGAAGAAGAAAAAGCATAAATGATTTTTACTGCTTCTCCAATCCAAAAGGAAAACCAGACAAACAGAAATGAAAGTTCAGACAAGTCCTCATTTGCTCCCCCTTTCATCAATTAGGCAAAATGACCAATCTGTGCCAGGGAGGCAACTCCCCAATGTGTTTACAGAAAGGTTTTGTTGGAAGAAATGCCTAGATTTTCTGAACACCTAACAGGGGTAAATGCCACAGTGTCAAACCATATGGTTTTATGGTGCTGGTAGTCTTGGAAATCACTAGATGAGACAATTGGTTTAGATGAGTCTTTGCTCCATGCTTGTTTTTACCATTTCTCCACAACTGTTTCTCTTTCTCCTCAATTTTCACGGAGGTCTACCTTGGGAGAGGGGCAGACAATTGCTGGTCACCCCTGCTAGACTACAGCGATGCTATGAGCGTGCATCAGAGTCACCTGAGGGCTTGTGAAACAGATTGCTGACCTCCATCCCCCAAGTTTCTGGTTCAGTGTGTTGGAGGTGAGGTTTCTGAATTGGCTTTTCTAACAAGTTCCTATATGATCCTGATGCTTCTGGTCAGGGGACCCACTTTGAGAGTCACCGCCCTAAGTGATGGGTGCTATTGTATGCCCCATTTTATGGATGAGGATGGTCACAGCTGTGGGGTTTACAAAATCAAGGGTGATGCCAGGTTCCTCTCGAAGTGAAGAAGTGATTTAAAGGTGCCTTTCATCAGCTGAACTTAGAAAAGGAAGATGAACTTCGGGGACTTTATCTTCATCCCTCATCCCTAGCCCCTGTCGTTTACTTGGCAAACTGGACCCGGGGTGCCAGAGGGCACCAGGAGGAGTGCTGTGGGAGCACTGAGGCAATCCTGAAGTAAGGCACCAAAGCTCCTCAGACCAGGATTTCGACTTTGAGGACGGCTTATCTGGTGACATGCTGAAAGGAGGGAAAGACAGGTGAGTCATACAGAAGGCATGCTGCCCACAGGGGCTGCCCACAGGGCCTCCACATCTTCCCACCCCACCAGCTTCTAGGAGTGCATTTTGCATCATGCCACCTCGTATTTCCTTGCTTGATTATTTCTCGGATACAAAAGCTCTGCACCTTACTCATGATAATTAAAGGTCACATTTGTAAGCTTCAATGACAACCTCAGGTATTAAAAAAATGAGAGTCGTTCATTCACCAGTTCTAAAGACGCATAAAACATGCTTTTAAAAAATTTGACACCACAAAAAGGAAAAAGAGCCGTATCATCAAGCATCCCCATTCCCTATAAGACCACTTCAACACACAAGTCCAAGGAAATCTCAGTATCGACTTTGGACATTTTGCTGAGTTACTGACTCCACTCTGGTTGTTTATGCTTGTTTTCTCATGTGTCTGTATATTCCCCCCTCCCAACCCCCATTGGTTGCTGCCTCCCTATCTTGGTTGCATTGTCCTCAAAGCAGACCTGTAGCTGTGATCTTAAGCACATCTAAACTCTATCCTCAAATCCACAGATCTACTGAGGAGCCCAGGTTCTACTTTTGAGAACTAACTCACCCTCTGAATAAGGAATCTGGCCAGATGAAATAGCATATAAGAGTTCAGTATAGGACACACAGTTCTGATCCAAGGACGCAACAACTACTTCCATTAAATGATTTTTATTAGCATCAGCATCCTGTGCCCAGGTGGTGTTCTCCCACTCTAGGGAGAAAAGGCAAGCGGATTTCAGAATGCCCAAGTCAGGTTTTCAGAAGAGCTCCTCTGGCCTCCAAAAGAGAGTTGATGGATTATAGACTTGGGGGTGGGGATAAAGAATGTGGGGAGAAGTGCCACAAGGTCAGCTCCCTTGTTACCTACTGCTCCAAGATTCTTGCCATAAATGTATTGACATAAATCCATCTTGTTCTGTGCCCATTGCTGTAAAATCAAGATTGCTGTGGTAATCTTTAAAATGGAAAGTCTGAGCCTAAATACTGTTAGAAAAGGGACGTGTAGATTATTTCTAAAGAAATGCTCAAACTACACCAAGCAAAAGACCAGAGCTTAATTAATTCGTGTTGATTGACTGACTCAGTGACTTGGCTGACTGTTTAACCCTGCAAGAAAGGCACAGTTACAGTAGCTCAGAAAAGTAAGTTATTTCGTAAGTGGCTTCATGTGACCATCAAGGCTTTTTTTCCATAAAATTATAAATGATAATAAACCATGTTATAAATGGGCATAGGCAACATTTCTGGTTTGTCTTCCTTAAATTCTTAATTATGTACATTAATATTCAATATATACTTTTATCCATTTAAACCGTTTTCACAAACTGTCATTTAAACCCTGGCATTAAATGTAAATTAAAAATCATTGAAGCAAATGTCATTAAAGCAAATTTCTTAAGTTAAATCTCAAGAAATCACATTGAGGAAGACACAATAATCCACAACCCAGAGTGGGGGGGTAAAAGCAGTTTCTACTTTCCGCCTTTCCTCCTCCTTGTATTAAACCAAATCTTTTTGTAAATAACTCCTTTTTGTCGGTTCTGAAAAAGGCTTGGGTGGGGAAAAGAGTCCTGACTGGGCAAGACAGGAAAGGATCATTACAACATGCCGAGACTTCGCAGGAGACCCACCCAGTCCCTCCCCTTTCCTTCCAAGGATTTAGGCCTTGGCCATGGAGTCAGTGTTTTGGGTATTGTCCTTCCATTCCAGATTCTTCCAAAACCCAGCTGCATCTATCCTGAAACAATGATAACACATCTGCCCTGGGGTCTACATTCTTCCACCCCACTCCACCTTTGCTGTGGAATATATAGGAACCGCTAGGCTAGATTATATTGTTCTCAGCCCTTACGGAGATGTTAACCAAAAACTCTAGGACTAAAGGACAGGCAGGGCCCTCAGCGCCGTTTCCCCCGCCCCCACAATCCCAGGCAAGTAGGATCCGCCAGGAACAAACCAGGACGGAGCCTAATCTGGAGCTAGGTGCCTCAGCGCTTGAAGGCCCCACCCACAGGCCGAATCAGCCAATCGTGGCGCCGGCAGGCGGAGGGGTGGGAGTGGGTGGGGGCAGGTCCGAACAGGCCGAATTCCCCGGTCTTAAATCCGCTGCCTCTGGGCCACAGTCCCGCCTCGGAGTTCTCTGGCCTTACACGTGTCTACTGCTCCTGTCGCAGGTAAGCGTCCGCGGCCTGGACCTGGCGCTGCTGGGCCATCCCGGGAACCAGCGTGGCCGTCAGCCTTGGGGATGGAGGGTTCAGGGGTCCCAGGAGGCACCGTCCCCGGACCTGGCCTGGCGGGAATGTGCGGAGGGCGGGGAGCAGCTGGCACTTCCCAGGCCCGGCCCCGTGTACAGGGTCGGGGTCCCCTGGCCCCAGAGGTGCTCTGAGCTCCGGCAGAGCCTGGTCCTGTCCTGGGGGCAGAATTGGGGTCTATGGAAAAACACCTCACCCACATGCTTAGCTTCCCTCCACAGATTGTGTGTAAATACTTGGGAGGATAAGTTAGTTGTTTTTGCGCCATCACGGGTGGCTATAACGTCTCAGAAGAAAGTAAAATAGCTTTTTAGAAGGATTGGTTTAATCAGATACTCACTTGTTTTCCCTTCCTAGATTTTTGAAACATGAATCCTTCACTCTTCCTGACTGCCCTTTGCTTGGGAATAGCATCAACTGCTCCAAAACTTGATGGAAGTTTAGATGCACAATGGAACCAGTGGACGGCAACACACAGGAAACTATATGGTTTGGTTGGTAACTTCTGAAACTGTCCAGAGGGACCCCTCAGAGAATGGTCCATGTTGTTGGGAGTTCATAGCAGAAAGTAGCTCCTTGAGGATGGCTCTTACCAAGGCAATAACTTCATGCTACCTGTTACTGAGCACTATGGGCGTTCATCCCTGTTGTGTGGGGCCTGGAGAACAGCTCCCAGAAGTATAAACCTTGCCTGGCCATGGTTTCTCTTCCTGTCTGTCTGCAAATCCACTTGGTGGAGGTTTGTTGGTTTTAAATAGAAATAGAGAGGATAGGTTATGTTTACCTCTAGAATGAAGAAGAGTGGAGGAGAGCAGTGTGGGAGAAGAATATGAAAATGATTGACCTGCACAACCAGGAATACAACCAAGGGAAACAGAGCTTCACCATGGCAATGAACGCTTTTGGCGACATGGTAAGTGTGGCCTGGGAGGCTGAACTTGTGCTTCCTCTCCTCAGGACTATACCCAAATAATCCCTTGTTTTTCAACATTCTATTTCTCTTTCCTTGAAGACCAGTGAAGAATTCAGGCAGGTGATGAATGGCCTTCAAAATCAGGAGCACAAGAAAGGGAAAGTGTTTGGGGAACCTCTCTTTGCCGAGATCCCCCCATCTGTGGATTGGAGAGAGAAAGGCTATGTAACTCCTGTGAAGAATCAGGTATGACAGTGTTCAGCAGATCTCTCTCCAGGAGTAACGCCATTCAGGGGTTGGTGCCCTTGCGATGGTAAAATGTGGGACAGTATGCAGTTCGCTATTTTTAGAAAGTTTTCAGACATATCGGCTATTGTCAAAATCTTGTTCTTTGTGTTGTAGACTGAGAGGTTTTAAATTTTGTTTTCAGGGTCACTGCGGTTCTTGTTGGGCTTTTAGTGCAACTGGTGCCCTCGAAGGACAGATGTTCCGGAAAACTGGCAAACTTATTTCACTGAGTGAGCAGAACCTTGTGGATTGCTCTCAGTCTCAAGGCAATAGAGGCTGCAATGGGGGCCTAATGGATAATGCCTTCCAGTATGTAAAGTACAATGGAGGCCTGGACTCAGAGGAATCCTACCCATATCATGCCGAGGTAAACAAAGATCCCTATCTTTGTATCATTCCAGCTCTGCTTTTGAAAGTTAAACACCTTAGAGAAAACAGAACACCATATTTAGAATTCACATTTTAGATTGTAGAATCTATATATGCAAATGGACAGAGCTTTCATTAAAATGTATTAGCCTTGAACAGTTCTCTGTGTAGATGGTTACCATATAAGCAGTTCTTATTTTTATATTATGTGGAGATATACATACCATTCTATATAGAGTACAAATTTCACCAGAGTGAAAAATTCCTTGTAGACAGGTAGACCGAGAGTATCTCACTGAATAGACACCAGCTGGGTTTTCAATTTCAAAACAAGCAGTAGCGTTTAACCTCCTGGGATGCTTTGTAACAAACTTAACTTGGAAATCATTAAGCTGCAAACTGTCTTAAATTGATGTTCCCCAGGAGGTGCACGGTAGTACTCAATTCTCTTCCTCTTTACCTTTGACAGGATGAATCCTGCAAATACAAGCCAGAGGAATCTGTTGCCAATGACACTGGCTTTGTGGACATCCATCAGCAGGAGAGGTCCCTTATGAAGGCAGTGGCAACAGTGGGGCCTATTTCCGTTTCTATAGATGCAAGCCATTACAGCTTCCAGTTCTATAAAGAAGGTAAGTGCTTGTCTATGTAGAAATTTAGGCAGAAAAATTGGAAAACCGCCATGACATATAGCAACATCGATTCTTTGGTTTGTATAATTCAATGTAGGATTTCTGAGTGTGTGGATGTAACATAGTTGTTCATTGTGTACACTAATATTTATGCCTCATGTTTCCATTTGACCTTACTTGAACCATATCCCCATGATTTTAAGCACTTCATAAATATATTTAAATGACTATATAATTTGATTGATATAGCTTAGTTTATTTTTTCCAGTTGTTAGAGCTTTAAATTTTCCAAAGAATTTTACTATGGTAATAAAAACTGGAAAGACCCCTTGGCTCAAATAATTTTGTGTTCTGTGCTATTTCCTAGACTGGCATCCAAAAAAGTAGAATGATATGGCTTCCATGATATGGCTTTATGCCTCTTGACAAGTTATTTACAAAAGAGATTGTGCCAAATCACATTTTTGCTAGCGTTAGATGAGGGACTAAATCCCAAGCATAGATTAAAAAGAAAAAAAAAAGATCTTGTTTTCAAATCTTATTTGGATTTATGTCATTTAACTGGATGCCTCCATTACTGTGGTTGATATGCTGGGTTACTGTCACATGTCGCTTGGAGGTCCTCACCCCAACATTGAATTTTACTTCCCCAGGCATTTATTATGATCCAGAGTGCAGCAGCCAAGAGCTGGATCATGGCGTTCTGGTGGTTGGCTATGGCTTTGAAGGAGCTGAATCAGATAACAATAAATATTGGATTGTCAAGAACAGGTATAAACTGCCAAAAATACTTATATTTGAAATTGAAAGTGGAATCCTTGGAATCAGTATGTATCCAGGTCCTCAAACGCTTGAGCACACTTCTGAAATCCCAGAAGTCTTTATCCCACTTCGGATGAACACAGACATGAATGTTTGATTATAACATTAAGATACTGTCTCATCTTGCTGGGGTATTGATATAGTTTCTGTACCACTACATTTCTAAATTTGAAAATTTTCTTTTTTTTTTTAAAGGTTTTTTTTTTAATTGGGAAATTGGGGGGATGGGAAGAGTGCTGGGGAATTGGGGGAAGGGGAACAAACAAGTTGCTGTTGTTTTGTTCTTCAGTCTAGTTGTGGAGGACGTTGCTTCACTGGCCCAAGTTGGCACCATCATTGCACTCTTCCTGGGCGAGGTAGATCAGTCGCTGGCTTCTGGTTGGCTGCTCACAGCGGCTGCTGGCCGCTCACGCTGGCTGCTGGCTACACACGGTAGCCCATGGCAACCCACTGCAGCAGGGGCTGCAGCCTACGCTGTCGCCGGTGACTCATGGCAGCCCAGCTCCAGGTTGAGCTGTTGTTCAGCATCTTAGCTGTAGAGGGCAGTGTCACTGGCCCTCATATGTGGGATCCAAACCGGGGCCCTCTGGTGTCCCAAGCCAGCTCTTAACCAATGTGCCACTCGGCCGGCCCTGAAAATTTTCTTAATTCTGAAACACATCTGGCCCCAAGAGTTTTCTTTTACTCTCTAGAATTTTGCAGTTCTGTGAAAGGTTTGGGGATAGAAGTTACGTACAGGTTTAGAACTCAACTAAGAACAAGAACTGCCTCTCCTGATTCTGAATCAGCCTGGGCCCCTTGTATACTGTTTAAGTATTAAGTGTTATTATTAATAAAGACAAATGTGTTTGACTCTGTATAAAATGAAAAACACTCTCTTTCAGCTGGGGTACAGCTTGGGGTGAGAAGGGCTACATAAAGATGGCCAAAGACCGGAACAATCACTGTGGAATTGCCACCTCGGCCAGCTACCCTATTGTGTGAGATGATGGTAATGAAGAAAGACTTCACTGAGAACAGGATATCCAGAGGTGGAATTTTATCTTAAAACTGACCACGCCTTATTGTGCGGGATAAAATACTTGAATCGTTGAAGATCCAAGTTGTGATTTGAATTCTGACATATTACACTGGTAAAATGTTACCACTTCTTTAATAACTGCTGTAAACAGCTTTGTCTGACTGACTTGCCTAATAACTTTTAAATTCCATGTTTTAAAAGCATATAAAAAGCTTTACCTTTGAAAATAAAACTTAATTATGTAGAGGTGGGAGTCTTTCTTTTTTTTTCTTTTTTTTTTTTAGCTCAGCCATCCTGCTACCTGTTGGCAGCTCAGCGGCTGCTCAGCTCGGGCTGGACTCGAACCACTTGCTCAGAGCTCAAACTCTTGAGTGAGCTCTTAACCAACTGAGCCACTCAGCCGGCCTAGGAGTCTTTCTGTTTTTGTTTTTTTTTAACAATTTTATTAGGGAGTTGGGGAAGGGAACAGTGTTCGGGAATTGGGGAAGGGGAACAGACAAGTTGCTGTCCTTTTGTTCTTCACTCTAGTTGTGGAGGATGTCACTTCACAGGCCCATGTTGATAGTGTGATCATTGCACTCTTCCTGGCTGAGGCAGGTCTGTCGCCGGCCATTGGACAGACGCTCATGGTGGCTCATGTCAGCTTACGCTGGCTGCTGGCCACTCACAGTAGCTTATGGCAGCCCACTGCAGCTCTACTGCAGCCTACGCCATCACCAGCAACTCACGGCAGCCCAGCTCTAGGTCGAGCTGTTGTTCACCATCTTAGCTGTAGAGGGTGCAGCATCACTGGCCCATGTGGGATCCGAACTGGTGGCCCTGCTGCTCAGAGCTCACCCTCCCAAGCCAACTCTTAACCAATGAGCCACTCGGCCGGCCCTTCTATTTTTAATACATTAACTTCCTGTAGAGATAAATTTGTAGGGCCACCGAGTGGCGCGATGGTTAGGAGCTGGCTTGGGACGCCAGAGGGCTCCGGTTCAGATCCCACATATGCGGGCCAGTGATGCTGCCCTCCACAGCTAAGATGCTGAACAACAGCTCAACCTGGAGCTGGGCTGCCGTGAGTCGCTGGCGATGGCGTAGGCTGCAGCCCCTGCTGCAGTGGATTGCCATGGGCTGCCGCATGTGGCCAGCAGCCAGCGTGAGCAGCCAGCAGCCGCAGTGAGCGACCGTCCGGAAGCCGGCGACTGATCTGCCTCACCCGGGAAGAGCGCAATGATGGTGCCAACTTGGGCCAGTGGAGCAGCGTCCTCCACAACTAGACTGAAGAACAAAATGACAGCAACTTGTCTGTTCCCCTTCCCCCAATTCCCCAGTGCTGTTCCCATCTCCCCAATTCCCCAATAAAAATCTTTAAAAAAAAAATGTAATTGGGCTCTAAAGACATAACTGGTCCATTAGGAGAATGGCTGGTGGCCTTCTGGCTGTTCTAGTTATAAATATACAGATCTTATGTCAGTTACCCATTGGCTGTGCCTGACCCAACCCTTGAATAGAGTAAAATTGGACAATATATAAGGACAAAGGTCAATAATTTTAAGGAAAAAATTCACATTTTAGAAAAGTGAGCACACATACATAGGATTGCCAGACTAGAAAAGGATCTTAAAAATCATGATCATTTGACCCAAGGTAGTTATAACCCAACTGAGTTACAGGATAAATGTCACGGAGGCAGTTTCTGGTGCATCTTCCCCAACTATAGTAAAGATCACCTTGCTGCTTTGCAGTTGAGGAAGGACTAGACATGGTGGATTGCCAAGAATGTCTTTGGGTCTATAAGGGTTCAAGGATAAGCCCCTGGATTAGAGGTTGGGCTTCAAAAATAGTGTTGTGGCCTCAGAAGTGGGAATTAGGTGACAGCATCAAAAGTGATAGTCTGAGGCTTAATTAAAAAAATAACTCCCTACATTAGGCAGCCTAAAGAAGCACATAGTTCCATTTGCTGTGTGTTTAAAATTTACAAGTTCCCATTCAAAGAAATACAAAGAGGAGGTAAAATATTTGGTTGATAGAACTTGTAATTCCTTATAAGGTCATGAGGTGGAGGACAATTGGGGTCTCAACTCACAGTCCTCCAGCAGCCTCTGGTCAAGTCCATCTGTACTGGACCACATGCCATGCTGACCTTCAAGGTGGCCTTCCCTCACAGATGCTTAAATAGCCAACTTTTTTTTACCTAAAATGACATGTGTTTGGGTGAAATTCTGTGGGTTTTGTGATAGTACTGTCTAGTGTAGTCACAGGAAGATTTGGGAGGCTCCCGAGCTGAATCCTTTCTGCTGGTTGCGACCTATATTGAAACAACCATATTGATGTAGCGCCCACTGTGTTCTAGTCATCACCTTGTGGGAGAGACAATCCCAATCTCAAGAAATGGTTGGTGCTGTTAGGGAGAGGAAGGTAGCGGAAAACAACAACAGGAGGAGAAATCTGACATGAACACAGAGGAGCCAGTCAATAGGACAGGGTTAAAAAGGGTCTGAACAGAGACTCCTGGGTCAAAACCCCTGAGAAAAGAGAAACTGCATTAAGGGAAAGTGGAAAGTGATTGAGTTGAGTGTGGGAGGTGAGGCTGGGTCCACATGTGGGTTTTTAGGACAAGGGAACCATCAGGGAGTGCAGTGAAAAGACTGTTCTCGTTATCTATTACTGTAAAACAAACTCCCAGAAATGCAGAAGCATGAAAAACCCATCTTTCCCATTTCCTGACTGGACTTCAGCTGCATAGTTTTCCCCTGGAAGTATCTCATGCATGCTGGAATGCAGGTTTGATTGGGCTGACATCCAAGCAACTCACTCACATGGCTGTCCTCAATGCTGGTGTGGGCTGGGTGTTCAGCCTGGGTTGCTGACTAGAGCACCTAGATGGGCCTCTCCATGGCTTGGGCTCCCACAGCATGAAGACTGGCTCTGAGAGCAATATCCCAAGAGAGAGTGTTTGTTCCAGAACGCCCAATGAGGAACTGCAAGGCTTCTTATGACCTGGCCTGAGTCCCCAATGAAACCTCTGCTGCTACATTGTATTTGTAGTATGTCACCAGAGAGAGCCCAGGCTGCAATTCTAGCTCTTGATGGAGAGTGGCAAGGTCACTTAGCAGAAGAGTTTGTGGGATGGAAGATATGCTTGTGGCCATCTTTGGAAAATGCAATCTGCCACATTTAGTATCTGAAAATCCACTAGAAACGACTTCTTTGTGACCGTCATCTTGCTTCACCATGACAGGCTAGCTCAGACTGCTGTCCACAGAATCCTGGAAATTTAGCCGAAGACTCCAAGAAAATGCCTACGTGCTGATATGAATGAAACTGTGAAAACGTCTCAGGTGTCTAAATGATTGAACAGATATCAGAAACTTCTGTAACTTTCAAAAACATTTATATTTATTTAACTTGTGAAAAGCTCCAAACTTCATCTATCATAAAAATATTTTTAAAAGAAGCCAGTAGACATGAAGTAAAGCAGAAAACAAAATTTGATTACTACATAAATCTTGTCTGTACCATAAATTTACTATTGATATTTACCCATATTCCATATAGCTTCATAATTTCTATTTAAATTGCAAATGAAGCAAGTGATTCAGAATATTATTGAAGAGGAATTTGGTTTTGTGGGTGTGTAGTTACAACCTTGGGAGGGAAAGAACTCAGAATAGTTAGGAAAACTTGATTCAAAGCAGCACATATATGTCTATCATTATCACCAAAATATAGTTACAAATCTTAAGCTATTACACCCTTCCTGGATTTTCCAGTCAAGATGGCAGAGTAGGTAAACGTTGTGCTCACCCCCTCTCAGGACCACATTAATTACAACTAAACCACAAGACAACCATTATTGATAATCACCTGAAGGCTAGCTGAACTGAAGTATGGCGGGCCAGCTGCCACAAGTCGATCAGTACCCGAAGGGGGGAGTGGGAATGAATAAAGAGACACTCACACAAATGCTGATGCGGCCGGTCTTCACTGATGGTGAAGCGCTGAGTTTATTTTTCCTCACCAATATATGCAGTTTGAGTACGTGCAACACTGCAGGTACAACTACGCATTACCTCATACAGAAGCAGATCATTAACTATCTACTGGAGACTTAAAGATCAGGGGGGCTTTAGGGGATTAGCTTCCCAGGACACTTTCTTCCATTAACCCAGATAGCCATCTATCTATAGTGTCTCCTAAGGAACTGGCCATGCTCACCACATACCTCAACAACTTGTAAGCACCCTCCAGGTGCAGGCAGAGACAATGCCTTAGGAGCAGAAACAGGTTAAGCATTAACTGAGCCAGTCTGTAAGGCTCTGAATTACCTGTAACCATCGCTCCCCACACTGAAGCCCTACAACTACAGACATATGGAAGAAGCCACCTCGAGACTGGTAGGAGGGGCAGAGATGCGGAACAGGTGGTCCCACACTCATGTGTAACCATTACAAATCAGGAGGGATATCTCGGCTGCAGAAGTCCTCCTTCCTTGAGGAGTGAGGGGGCCCAGTCCCTACCCAACCCAGGGTTTCAGTGCCAGGGAGAGAAATCTCCACAACTTCTAGGTGTGGAAACCAGCAGAGATTGTGGCTGAGTGAAACGGAGGGCGGCTGCACTCCCAGGAGCTCCTCTTAAAAGGACCGTGTATGGACTTGCTCGCTGATGGACTCATTCACTCTGAGCTCCAGCGCTGGGGCAGCAGCTTGAAAGGCACCAGGGACATACGGGGAGGAGCTGAATTTTCTAGCTGCAGAGTGAGGGCTGGAGGGGCAGCTTTCTCTCAGATGGAGGAGCTGGTAGAAGCCATTGTTTTTTTGTTGAGCACTCCCCCTCCCTGCGTGCAGACACAGGAGGCCTCCATATCTGAGTCTCCAAACAGGCTATCATCTTTTGTCTGCGCCCGTCCTAATGATTCCCTGAGACCACGCCCAACTCAATTTTCAGGCCCTCCCAAGCCGCTTCCAGTGGCTTTTCTGTAACAGAGTTCGTAACACTGGCCTGCCTAGGCTCATGCTATAGACTTTCCTAAAATCTCTCAAAGGTTCAAAAAATCCAAACAAGAAATATCAGGCTTTAGCAGATCCCATACCTCTGACTGAGCAGCCCTAAGCCCAGCACTAGCTACAGCTGACCTCACTTGTGGCTTAGCCTCTCAAGGCCCCTCCAAGCACAGCACAGATGGCAGCCATCTCTGGATTGCTTTTGACTCATGACAGGTGGCCCTGGGCAGAGCACA